TAAAAAGCCAAGAAGGTCTTCTTATTCCAAAACGAAATATTACTAGCAATCAACTTCCCATTTGAAAAAAAGTGAACGTTTTACAGAGGCAAGCTCGCCGAATGAGTCGACATTAGTATATTTCGGAAACCTTGTCATGACAAATAAAGGCACTGCCTTAAAATATACAAGCATATTTGTTCACGTGATCCGGATCGCAGATTGTCCTGATTGAGACTGCTACTCCAACCAGCTTCACCTCACAAATACATTTTAAAAGCAAGAGCACTAACATTCCCTCCAGCCTCACATCATTGTACAATCACTTTGCACAAGAACTCGCTCCCTTCTCCCACTGTATCGGACAAAAGCTACATTGCTATTTAATATGGCTTTAAAACCCAGACATAAAACAATAATCAAAACGTTCAAACGAAGCACAAAAATATAGTACTTTTAGCACTACGTTGTCTTTATTTGAAGGACAAATAATTGCATAATCTGTGAAATATTTTATTTGATTGTCTTCACACCCAAATGTCTTACAAAACATCTTCACTTTTTATATATTATTATTATTATTATTATTAATAATAATAATTTTAACGCAGTGTAATAGGCCCGCGGATCAGACCATTATCTAAAGCAACAACATTATGAATTTTTAGTTTGATTTAAGATGAACATTATCCGAAATATAGTTATTGCTTTTTGCTCGCTGTTTTGAACAGAAATCCGTTTATTACAGGCTGCAAGAAACCGCTGAAATATTGTTTGACTATTATGGTTTAGGCAATGACAGCAATGTATGACCTCTTCAACCAAAGAGATTCATCAAAATCATCCCACATTCTATATTGTTCTTCTCAAAAAGCAAGAGTGTGTATGGATCCATATGTGAGCATGAAATGTAAAAGTGGGTACTTTCAGTGTCTAGATTTGTACTAGTTGTGCATTAAAATACATTCTATGTTTTCCAATTTTTCAGAATTAAAATACTGTCACCCTTCACTTTTTAACCATAAGACAATTTGAGAGGTTAAATGCAAGATGATTATGTTATATACAATCTGAATCAGGATGCTTGCTCTATGGTTGTGATGTATGGATATGTAGCTGGATGGTAAGATGGAGATGAAACGGTTGGGAACGCGGCCGAGCGCATGGTTGTCCTGAGGAGAGCATGCGAGTCGTCTCCCCTTGCAGCATATGTTCACGGGCTAATAAAAGTGAAAGATTTACAGTCCACGCCCGGCCCCCAACAGCCTCTCACCCTTTCAGGAATTACTGAGCATGATTTACAACGATGCAGATCACCGTCATCCCTCTCCAACAGTTCGAAACACTTTATGGATAGATCCACGATCATAACGCTCCATTACTAAACGAGTGGGTATTGTGGAGCTTTTGACATCAATGAAATGTATTGTTTTTGGATCGATGCCATTGTTTTTTTTTTTTTATTCTTATGCTGTTTTGTTGGTGGTGGTGTTTCTATAATTGTTGTAAAATTGTCATGATCCTACTTCCAGTTATTCAGGCAGTACTTTGCGTCAATAACTATGTGATGATATTCTAGATAGACCTCTACAATGCATTTTAGCCTGTGTTCTTTTTATCTAACCAAACACATACGTCTCCACAAATAGTCGCCACTAAATCGGGAAATAACAGCATCTCTGACGGATTATAAATCACAAAGAGGCCTTCGTTAAAGCCCTGGCGGCTAAGCAATAAACACTATCGAACTGGACTTCACATATTTCATGCACAAATGCATCAATATAACATTACATTACATGAGAAAATAATTACCGTAAAGTCTGCCTGTAATACTTTACAAATAAAAGTAGTCTGATAACAGTTTTATTTTTTATTGATAAAGGTATAGATTTGGAGAGCTTCATGCTGAAGCTATTTAAGCAAAAAATCACAATGAGCCTGAAGTTGTTTCAGTCTGTCCGCGAAGACCAAATCAAAGGACACTATTTATCAAAATCCTGACAGATATGTTTATCCGCTGTCTCACTGCAAATATTAATCTTAAATGTTTACCTACCGATGCTCCATTGGCTGAAAAGCTGTAGGAAAGTGCAGGTTGCGGTGGGGTGAGGTACAGGACCGTTTGGATATTATTTTCTTGGATCTCTTCAGTTTTCAAGTCTGATAGAGTCCTCGCGATTAATGACGACGCCGTGTTTCTAGGGGACGTGCTGCATTAATTATTTAGACAATCACGTGGTCAAACAAAAAAGATATAGAACGGAACCATATACCGAATTCTGTCTTTGGATGTCGACAGCGCAGTTTGATTTATCTTAACGGGTTGTCTCGATGGGCGAAGACATTTTCAGTGAACAGCTGGAAATCAAAAATGGCCGTTTGAGAAGCATTGTGAGAGCGGCGGTAGTAGTCGGTGCAGTGTCATTGCACATGGAACTGCGTATGGCTCTCGTTTATTGTGTTCAGACATCCAGGTCAATACTCAGAATGCCTTACTGAAGGCAAAGAGATCCCCTGCGTGGCGTGTTTTCACTATGCAAACGGCTTATTAAACAAAAAATAGATATTTGAAATAGATATTGACATATACACACACGTGTATACACACACACACACACACACACATTTAAGATCTCTGTATAGAATGGGGACGGTATACATTTGACCATGCATATGCAATATATAAATCTCATTTTCAGCAATGTAATTGATGTAAAACGGTATAGGAGAACTACTCCACATGCATGTTTGTAAGGTACATGTTTGTAGATGTTTCGCCTGAAATAAACTTTACATTTGGTCCTCCCTGGAGGTGTTTATTGCTGTTCTTATAATCTCTCTCTCTCTCTCTCTCTCTCTCTCTCTCTCTCTCTCTCTCTTTCTGATTCAAGTGACAGAAAAAAAGTCTTTGCATTGCCAAAGCATTGGTAACATTAAATCACACACACACACACATAGCCTATTTACACACACACAAAAAAAAAACCCTTTTAAAATTAGTAGTAGTAGTATATTGTCTCTTTCACACACGTTTACTTGGCTAAATATGGACATTGCATTGACTTGTATTGTTTTTATACAGCTAGTTATAAAAACTATAACCTAACCCTAACAGAAAATGTTCAGCATTTGTACCATTTTTAAAAGCCTCTATATCTTATTTTTATGGGCTTACTGTTGTTTTTGTTTTTTTTTTTACAAATGAGGACGCCTCCGAAAGGAGGTTTTGAGAGAATTTGTCATGTTAACCTCACTTCTGGGTACATATTTTTCCCCAAAATATGGTTCAGTAGCACACACACACACACACACGCACAAACATTTTCAGTGCTGATGGACAACAATTTTTGGCACACTGAGAACAACAACAAAAAAAAAAGATAAAAACCTGTTTTGATAAATTTTTAACATTTTCTTTAATATTTAAATAATACAAACTCTGTTGCTATTTAGCAATAACCTTAGTAATGATTGCTCATAATTCTCTTTGAAGGGCGGACATTTTTTTTTTGTATAATACACGGATATCAAAATGGATATCTTCCGGTTTATCAATAATGCTTTGACATGATATTTTGCTTGATGAAGAAAAACACATGGAGGTTTATTTACGATTTGTAATTTCACAGTTATCGTAATCATTGTACAGCGTAACCATGATTTTAATATGCAGGACTCGGGCAGAAACGGATAAAGTACAAATTAAGTTAAACAGCGTGGCTTTACCGTGTAAGGCAAGCAAATATTAATTCAGTACATAATATTTCTTGCAGATTTTTTTTTCTTTTTTTTCCAAAAAGAAACCCCTTCTCCACACGCACACATTATTGGTGCATCTGTGTGCAAAGAGCGTCTGAGAGAACCGGCTGAAGGTCCATCAGGTCAGGAGTGTAGAGGTCAGTGCTCGCGGCTCAAAAGCGTCTAATGCAACAGAATCTGTGTCCTCCGGATGAACCTGCCCGCAAGGCTTTTGTTGAACTTCTGTAAAAATACCTTTTCATGCTCTCAACGTGAAGGCTTCTGTGTGAAGACTCCTTCGCAATGCATGTATGCCTCGTGTTTTTGTTCAAGGAGACAAAGACGCCACAATGATAGCAGAGCGTCTAAATTTAATCACTGTTGGAAAACCATTTCAAAATGAACACCAATCCCCTTTCAAAAATAACATAATATGAAAGTGCTTGATAAAATGTGTTTTCTTCTTTTCTAAGTTTCTAGTTTCAACACAATATGACGCAGTTTGAGTGAAAACTCTCTGCACAATATTTAATTACTGCAAAATATGCCTGTAAAAAATATGCACAATATACAGAAATATATACATATATATTTAAGAACTCAAAAACTCAAAACTGAATTTGATCATTATTGAACGGATAATTACGTTCACGTAGAACATAAAGCTTTTAACATTACATTTTAATAAATAGAAGGTTTAAACATCTTGAGGGCTAAACGTGTATCTAAAATGCAAAATAAAAAGCTGCTTTTCAAGAATTTCAGGTAACATCTGGAAGACAGAAATACTGCTTCTGCAATTGTAGCTAAATTGTTTACAAAGATGACAGGCGAGATTTATAGTGGATTATAAGGCATGGAATATTCGTGTCAAAAAGAGACATTTTTCTCGATTAAATAGGACACTTTTAAAAGCTGCAGTAAACAAATGAGAAACGTCTATAACGAAATTCTTAAAAATTACATGAACATGATACAATTGCTTGACTGAAATATAGTCTTTTAGAAAGTAACCCATTAATGAGGCGCGCACAGTAAACGAGGTTCAGAAGGAAATTTCTTCAGCTTTTCAATCTACAAATGAATTTCCCAGGCAACGATTTTTGTTCCTTATTATTAACTAATTTGATTTTGTTTTTATTACTTGCACCCAGTCGACTTTAGTACAAAAAAAAAATAATAATAAGACATTCGTAATTTACTATATGCTGGACATTACTTACTTAAGTTCTCTTTAATGATTAAGTTAAGATAAATTGACTCGCCACAGGCGTAAACTTGCCATAATGTGTTTAAAAAGAGGAAACTGTTGATATACAGAGATTTAAAAAAGGTGTGAATAGTGCCACTAAAACGAACCATGCTCTGAAACAAATTTGGCAAGTTTGTGTAAAATAGCGTGAGCGTTCTAACGTTTTACTGTACCTCGTGGTGGCACTTGAACCATCATTCGATGCCTCATATCCCCTTTGCCTCAGTTACAAAGGGTTACAATACTGGAAATATTGACATTTGAATTTCAGCTTTTATGCTGCATTTAGTCATGGTGTGTGCTTCTGGTTCTCAGTTTTTGGCACTTGTACCCAACATGTCATGATTCGCTACCATGCAATGTCAACGAAGCATTGTCTATTACATACAGTTCATCTGTACATCTGGAGGGAGGGAGAGATATCCACTTATAAAGTTGTGATCTCTGTCTGGTTGTCCTTCTGAGCGTGTTGTGAATGCTGATTTCCAGCTGACGCCGATCTTCCTTTCGTGTTAGGTAGTTTGTGATCCTTTTTCCATTTCATTCTTCTGTTCTGAAACCAGATTTTAATCTGTCGCTCAGAGAGACAGAGGGTATGCGCGATTTCAATGCGACGCCGTCTTGTTAGATATTTGTTAAAATGAAACTCCTTTTCTAGTTCGAGAGCTTGCTGTCTTGTGTAGGCTGTCCGAGAACGCTTGAGTTCCGGTCCTGTGTAATCCGGATTCACTGTGAAAGACAAAAACACACTTATGTTAAAAAGAAGAAGAAGAAGAAGAAGAAGAAGAAGGGGGAAAAAAGAAACCAACCATTCGCTTCCTTGTGTTTAAACTTACTCACTTACTTAAATTTCTGGTATAATTTCAGTTTCGGTGAATTTATTTCAAAGTTTATAACTTCTAAATTATTCAGTTCAAAGCTTTGGGCCAAGTGGACTCTCAGTACTGCAATAGTGTCCAACAGAGCTAGCGGCCTATTTCCTAAGCAATAAAAATTTATGGCTGGTGTAACTGGCGGCCCCTTCAGAGGAACCCATAAATATTTCACTGAATGCTTTTAACTGTGCCTAAAACAGCAGAATAGGGCTGGCCTACAAGCAGACAGCAGAGAGCTTTAATCTTACCCGTAGTAACGTGCACTTTCTTCATCCATGGATAAACTACAGCAGGCTGCTTGGCTGATATCCCGTTCTGGCTCTTTGTGTTTTGTTGTTGTCCACAAGTCCTCGGTCCGGATATCTGGACCGCCGGACACTGCTCTGTCTGTGCGGGATAAGGGCTAGGGTGGCTGTCTTGATCCTGCACATGACCCCGCGGCTGCACCGACGAGCCCTGGACAGTGTTACAACTGTAAGGCTGTTCAGAGTAGTTTGACCGCGAATAGATTCCGGGATGCTGGAAATCAGTGTCCTGCGACGGACTGTAGTAGCCGGGGCTCTGTTCAGGTATATAGCTGTTCTGAGAATATTCCTCACAAGGAGGAAATTTGGGATCCACATACTTGGAGTTCACCATGTACGAACTCATGGCCATTAATTTCTGAAGGTAGGAAATACTAATTTTTCTCGAGTTGTCTTTTTTTCCTCCCTCCATAAAGCCCTCCTACTTGCTGTCAACTGAATAAAGTTAGGTTACCATGTGACCAGCTCGGCCAATCGAGGTGGAGGGACTTCATCAACCGAGAAGAAGCTGTGCACACCTAGTAGTTGATTTCACAAACTTCACATTATCTCTCCATTAGGACAGTAACAATATAATATAAAACTGAATTGATTAAATACCCGGTCGGTGTAAAAAATAAATAAATAAATAAATGATCTTTGTGTATTGAGACCCAGTTGCTAATGCCCAACATCACATGGGAGGATCCCTGCTTACTACACATCTCGTGATTTCATATAAAACATGTCTTTGCATCACATATATGTGGCCCAATTGGTAAATTAATATTCAACCAAGCTAAATCAAACCCAACCGAGGTGTTTTTTTTTTACCTAGTAAAAGCAAAACAAGACAAAAGATAAAAAAACGGCTCAAGGCACAAAAAGAGTCACATAAAGCCAGCAGACAATTGATGGAGACCGTCTTTGTCATGTAGAGGTCACTCAGAAGTTACTGGAGTCTCATCATTCCAGCGCTTCTCATCCTTTCAGTTCGCTGTATAGGGCGCCCTGGTTCGCCATCAATGCGCCGTGCCAATCAATAATCAAACGCCACATAAAAGAGAATAGCCACTTGGCCTGTCCTGTTTTATAGGCAAACATTGAGATTTGAACGCTATGTAAAAGGTTAAATATGTTGACTTATTTTAGTGAAAACAGCAGTACATAGCACTGTTGAGACGACTGATCAAAGCATTTCGTGACAGTTCACGTAATCAGAATCATATAATCATATTATGCAATTATGTAATTATATGCTTATCATTTCATATTCTCCATTGCACGCAGGTGGTTTTATTCGAAGTTCTTGCGTCGACCATATACTCCCCTAGAATCGAATCCGTGACTGTCATTTTTTTCACACAAATTCGGTTCTACAGGGTATATATAGACGACGGAATGTATTCGCCCAACTGACAAAACATCTTCGAGAAAAAAAAAAAAGATTGAAATTCAATATACAATGAATCCGTTATTGCAACCGTTCTGACTCAAAAATTCAAGTTTTTCATTAAGTATAATTCATTTCCAAGATTACGATCAAGTTTGACTTGATTTTTTAAAAAGGTTCAGTCCTTTTTAATAGTCTTTTGATAATACAGATGTTTAACGGGGAGAAAAAAATCTTAAAATAGAGGCCCGCAGCTCAATTTCAATTTATATAATAAAAGGTGACTAATCTCACTAATAAAAATATTTCATTCTCTATACAACACAACATATTATATTCACCCAGGCATATAGGTGTGAAGGCTTTGTGCTAAATTCTACTCACTGTAAGATGCAGTCATGGCAGTCAAATTGATCAGGTGGCTTTAAATCCGTGTGCTGTTTGGATACGTGAAGAAGCATATAAAGGAAGGCTAAAGGTCGAGAGGTCAAGCCGAATCATTTACAACACACATCACAAAGTTTCATTATTTTTTGCAAGGCGACAGCGGTAGCGGAAAAGGAGGAAAGTTCATGGATAGTGCAAGACCTCCTCTGATAAGCAGCTCCTGTGGCCCTTGGCTCCCGGTCACCAGAGCAATACCCCAAAACCATGGATCTATTAAAAATGTAAGGATCAAGAAGGCTCAACATTTAAAATATTTACCCATTTTTGTCCTTACATCTAAATTTGGTTAACAGTGATGTTCAATTTATTTTTATTTAATTTATACTTTATTGCCATTCTTTTCTTAATAAACAAAGAAATAAATCAAACATAAAAACACATACATATAACATATAAAACATAAATCTCATACATAAATCTCACATATAAAACAATGAGCCGTTCAAATACATATCTTGTTTAATTTGACAAGCTGTATCTTAACTGTGTTTCAATGGGTGATCGTAGCTTTTTGGAACAAAAAGGCACGCGATTTAAAAGAGATAACAATACATTCGAAATTATGCAGGCCATTCATTCTTGATATTACATTTTTTTAAAGGATTAATTCATTTTTTTGTATGTTTTTATATTTACAACGCGTAGCCAGTCAATGTGCATTTTTATTACGCGTATTTCATTTATTTTTGTTAGACAGCGTGACCCGTGTTTCACCTTGCTTTGCGACTTGCTCAGGCGGGTCAAAGCCGAGTTACAGATGAACAAAACAATGAGACGGTCACCAGTTGTTGTGACCTCTGATTTTAAATGAAAATATCAACTTGTGCATTTTTTTTTTTCAGATAATTTTCATGCACATAGGGGTTTCTGTGATATGAACCGTTTTTATTTGTTGTATGCAGAATCGTCCATTTTTATTAATCGAACATGTAATGATTTAATTATTTTTAAAAATCATTTTAACTTAAAAGGGAATTACCAACAGTTTGGCTATTAACTAATTAAATATCTGATTTTCTTCAAACGTTTACTGCAAAACATCTTGTTTAGCCTTCTCTTTATATAATGCACAGATATATTTAACTGATTGAGGTTTGACTTTACATTAAAAAAAAAAAAAAAACGTTCAAGTTATGTAACTGAAATAGTATGACTAGATAAAACAGTGACCAAATTGTGCAGCTATTTTGTTTACCTTTATAACATGCACATAAAATTAGATATCTTTGCTGTTGTTAGCTAATTCAGACCATTTAATTCAGGCTTTAATAAACATGACTTTTGTCCTTTTGTATTTTTTTCTGATCAATCTAAACAGACACTTTTTCAGGGATAATAATTAGTAGTACAAAGTATGGTTCAGGGCCAGATTGACCGTTTCTTTTGTTTGGGGGCGCTAGAGAGCTGGACAATAAAACCCAGAAAACCTGCTTATTACACAGTTCAGTATTATGTCCAGAATGATTGTGTATCGACTAACTGATGTTTTCGTTTGGACAAATTTCTCTCTAAAAATAAACGGTAGGCTACACTATGTTTCATGATGAAGCGCACTACACAACAGGTGCAAATGAGTAACAATAATTTGCAGGTTAAATGCAAAAAAACAAAAAAACAAAAACGCACATTAAATTACTTTCGTCGTATTTATAAATATGTGGTAATCAAAAGACAACTCTCAATATATTTGTATTACACACTTGGAATCCAACAAAACAATTATTTTAAAAAATAATGAGTAAGTAAAGCAATAAATTCAAATGCACATTCAAAAGTGTGCATTTTGACTTAGCCTATATAATAATAATAATAATAATAATAGATTTCATGTATGCAAGCTAAACAGTGAAAAGTTAAGGAGCAATCTTTCATAACGTGGCGCCACAACTGCACCAAAACCGAACTACTGCATAACATTTACGTCACCTCCATTACAACCTATTTTTTCTCTCCAAAGTTACCCAACCACTCAAAACTGTGCACAACAACACAAGAGGAGATCACAGAAACTAATCAGCGCTGGCTTGGAAGCTGACTATATGAAACCACAGTATGAAACATTATGGCACAATTCAAGCACGCACAAGTTCAGTGACACGTACTGAGGACAAGCTTACCTCCAGAAGCAGGAGTATCACGTAAAGCGTATCGACAAGTTTGTATATCCATGATCAAAACAAGCGTGGAGCCTCTTTCCTCTGCGGCGATACTGGGATCGTTTCTAAACCGTCTGAACGACCTTTCTAATATACAATGTGAATTATATTTTGGCTTGTCAACTCCCTGGCCATAAAACAAAGTTTAATGGCATCACGTGCTTCCCCACAGCCATTCATGACAGCGCGCGGGTGCCATAAATAATCCTGAAAGTTGCACTTATTCAATAATGGTGATTATTCTGATCTCAGGAGGAAATAAAGACACGGGGTTGAATTAGCATTCACTGCACTCAAAGGGAAAAAAATACACTGTCGAAATTATTTATTATTCTAGTAGACTAATGTCCGCTATATATTTTGGCAAATATTTATTGCAGTGGTTCTTATCCAAGTATTATAATTCGGTGTAGTATTTATTAACCAATGCGTTGCTCAAGTCTGCATGTTATTTTGCCAAATAAATTAGGTGTTTTTGAAATCTGACGAGTGAACTAATTGGGATCTTTTTTTTCTGACTGTAAATTTAAGGTAGTTTAAAAAAAATTAATAAATACATTAAAAACACTCAAAATACATCCACGGTGAGAGAGAGTGGACAAACAAACAAACAAACAAAAAACATCCAACATTAGCGCCAAGTGGCGAGTTGTCGATTTATGTAAAATGGCCATAAATGGGAAAGTTTCTGTACACTGCGTATTATAGTAACATTTACCGGTAAGATAAATGTTGCCATCTCTGAGTGTCCCCTCTTTATATTTATCCAGATGAATATAAAGTCAACTGATTAGTTGAATTGATAGAATTGATAATTCAAAACATTTCACAGATTATTTCAAGGGCATGGAATGTGTACAAGGCAGTCACTGTGAGTGTTTCGGGATTTTCGAACTCACATTACTATTAAATATCTTGGGTATTTTTAATTATATTTTTGCTCGTAATATGTTGAAATAATGTTGAAACTATTAAAATGTAAACCAACTTTTGTTTGTAAACCAACATTAAAAAAATGTTGACAAAATTAAAATAAAATAACAATCAATAATTAAATAAAATATTAAATAATTCCAACCATTCTCACACAGACCCTGAAAGTGTTGTTTTTGGTTCTAAAAATAAGCATTTGTATCAGTTAATAAGAGAACTGTGTGACTGTTGTGTCACATGACTGCGACAACCAATCACAGTTACAGGAAATGACCTCGAGGACAAAGCTGCAGCTAGCGGGAAGCAAGTCCCAGAGTGTTAGACAACAGCACCGCCTGCCGACCAAAGCAGACACTGCCTAGGTGTTCTGTACGTGCCAAACGTTCCTCGTTAATTTTTTATTTACTTAGTTTTATTATTATTATTGTATTATTATTTTTTTTGCATAGCGGCTCATACAGAAACTACAAGAATTGCTTACATAACTATTTTTTATGTAGCCTATACTTTGAATATCACATCACTATTCAAATAATGTGTCAATACACAATACAGCCTAGGCCTAC